TTTCTTTTTTTTTTTTTCTTTTTGTTTTTTTTGGCCCCGTTTTTTGGGGACTACCGGTCGCACGCCGGTGGGTACCCCGCGCGACGCGGCGCGTTAACGGCCGCGTCGATTCCCTCAAGCAGGGAGAGGTACTGGTGGTTTAAGGTCCATGTTTCAGCAGTTATGGGACCACTGAGCACGCGAGTTTTTGGGCAGTAGCAGCCCAACTCAGCACGTGATTTTCAGGGCTTCCCTCCACTACTCACCAAATATGCAAAACTAGAATGAATCTTCTGCTAGAACATGGAACCATACGTCGCCATATGTTTTGTCTTCTGTGCAACTGGTAACGAGTGGAGCAAGGCCCTTAGGGCCACTGCTCGTAGGAAAAGGAAACAAAAGAAGAGAGGAATGAATCTTCTGCTGGAACATGGAACCATACGCCGCCATATGTTTTGTCTTTTGTGCAAGTAGTGACGAGTGCAGCAAGGCTCTTAGGGCCACTGCTCGTAGGAAAACGAAACAAAAGAAAGAGAGAGCCATGGTAGTAATGTAACCCATAACTGCTAGAACGCAGACCTCAGTTTAGAAACCAGAACATATATTGGTGGCCTGCTCGTTTCTCATACAGATTTTGCTCAACGTCTCTCGAGATGTTGGGATTCTGGGGACCCTTGCAGATACGCTGCTGGGGTCTTTCAGGCAATAGACCATTTAACAAGGAATATGTGGGCCTAATTTATTTTTCTGTGCCCTTTGATTTTTTAGAAGGGAGGGGCACCATTGGCTACCTCAGCCAGCCCTTTCCGAATTTTGTTTTGTACCTTATTTATTGGGGTGCGCCGCATGACGTGCGTGCGCATGCTTGCGCGTGCGCTATGCGCCGCACGTGCGGAGCTAGCGCAGACGCGATGCACCGCAGGTATGGATAAAACCGCAAGTCGCAGTTGCCGGCGAGCACTCATAATGCACGCAAAAGCAGAGTCGTGAGTAATCATGCACGCAGAAGTTGAACCATGAGTCGAAACAAAGCTGCAAATCGGCGCGCAATCTGCTGCTTCAGAAGAAAAATAATTCCGCCCTCCCCCGGGCTGTCCCTGTCCGGAGTCCCTTAGAGGATCATTCAAATTCTCCAGATGTATTGGTGGTTTAATGAAGGCTTTGCTAAAGCGGATAAATGCCTGAGACCGTGAAATTTCTGCCCGCCCCCAGGCTGGACCTGTCCCGAGTCCCCTAACTTTTAGGACAGGCTCATTCAAATTCTCCAGATGTACTGGTGGTTGAATGGCTTTGCTAAAGCGGATAAATGCCTGAGAGAGTGGCTTGCATGCTTTGAGCCTGATTGAGAACAAGAAAACTCTCTATACCAGCACAAGGCTGGGTCATCCGTACGTGGTCCGCACTTGGACCTGTCGTCGACACCCTCAGAAGTCTCCTGGATTTGACCGAATCTTTTTCTTTTCTTTTCTTTTTTTTAAACCAGTGCTCCATCTATTGGTGCGGAGTTGGATTCCAACGGGATTTTACGGGCATCAGGTCTTGAACCGAAGAACAACCTTACATAATAGAGGTGCGAAGCACAGGCTCGTAAGAGCTTGTGGAGTTCCGGGAATATGCACTTTGCCTACATTGGTTTTGTATCCCGCTTTAAGCGACCCTTTCACCAGCGCTAGGAATTTCTCACAGACAATCTCTTTTTTGATAATTTGCATGATAACGTTGTGATCTATAGAATCAAAACAGTTAGTTATGCCGCCTTCGATGTTTGATAATTAACTTCTAAATGAAATGGTTTGTTTTTTAAAATTCGGTTATATCTTATATTTTGTTTGATGGTTGACTTGCAATTTTGTTGAATAGAAATAAGATCACCACTGGAAACTTGAAAGCTAGGCCGAAGGATAATTTGATTATTAACACAAATATTTTTATGACTTATAAGCTGTCTTGCTGTAAAAATAGTAGATTTGATTATTAACACAAATATTTTTATGACTTATAAGCTGTCTTGCTGTAAAAATAGTAGAGCAAAAATTCATACGTACACCCTCTGCCACAGGAACGAAGTCTCGTAACCACCACAACCCTTGTAGGTGCTATAAAAACTGGATCCATACCGGTACTGATATCCAGCCCACCCCCAGGGCAGTAGTGTCCTTGCGGACTCGGCAACACACGCACACTCCGTTCACATAGCACACCAAGGCTACTTTACCTGGTCACCACGGCGGGACTGTCACCTGCTGGAAACCGGGACCAGCGTCCCATAAATACATCTTTTGAAAACTTAATGAAGACGTAAAGATGAGATATCATACATCCATTGTACCTTGTCACGAAGCCTCTGCACGCCTCTGCTGTCTCCAGATCCAAGCATGGAAGCACACCATATGCATATACATGCACATTAGGAAACCGCGGTTGGAGCTGTGTCACGTCCGCCGCATATCGACACACAACATGCAGGTGGCAGTGTCAGCCAGAGAAAAAGAATATCCCTGCGCTGCAGGAGCAACACCATACCCAAATAATTGTCCAGAGGATACTGCCACATCCATCTCCCTCTGCTACCCTTAGCCATAAAACAGACCTCTCTCTCTCTCTCTCTCTCTCTCTCTCTCTCTTCTGGCCATGGATTACACTTTGAAAAGAGCTTGTTTGTTCTACCGCTTTTGCTGTATACGATCGTCAAATGCATAGAAACTGAGATAACACCGGCACAACAGAAATGAAATGACTCCCATGTACCAAAGTGAGCAATGAACTGAAGTCACAGCCAGCTCAAAACAAACAATGTTGATGCTACGTAGATGTTCGAACGAACAGTTCATGAGGAACGGTTAACGGAAAAGGAAAACAGATGGGACAACACAGGGCCGATACTACTTCATCCGCGTGCCACAACTTGGATCCTCCAAAGTTGAACAAAAAGGCTTGTTCCCAGCCAAACAGGACCCATAACGATAAGGATGTGTTTTCGTTTACAAGAAAAAGGAAAAAAAAAGGGAAGCAAAAGCAAAAGACGGTGGTCCTTCGGGACATCTGATCTCAGTGGAATGATACAGAGGAGCTCAGCATGACCCCTGCCCAAGGATGACACACATAAATCGAGAAATTGTCAAATGAAAAAAAAAAAAAAAAAGGAGAAGAAAAAAAAAAATCAGCCCCAGCTGCTCGTCCGGGCGCCCAGGCACCCAGCATGTGCCCGGATACACGCCTGGGTGCCCGGCAGGACATGAGCCCCAGGCAGGGTTCTGGGAAGTCGAGCGTCACAAAAAAAAAAAAAGAAAAACAAAGTTTGGAAGTCCAGAAAACAAAAATGTTGTGTAGAATTGCAATACAAGTCTGGCTGGGTGTCACATCACAGTTCCTCACGGAATTGAAGATAAAAACGAAAACAACAGAACCAGACTAAGCCAGCCCCCTTTAAACCCCAGTAGCCCCTTCAACACCATTTTACACCCCCCCCCCCCCCCCCCCCCCCCTTTGACAGCCAACGCTCAAAAAAAAAAAAAACCCTGGATTTGGGCTCCTTCGGCTATACTCAGAAAACCTTCACCCCTCAAAAAAAAAAAAAAAAAAAAAAAAAAGGGGGGCTGATTAAATTTCTGCCTGCACGGAGTGCCCTGCACAGGTGACCCCCTGGCGACTTGCCCTGTTCGCACAGCCGTGCTGCACGGCTGGTCGAGCCAAGTAGCCTAGCAATCAGCACCTTTTCTTCCTTTCCTTGTACTGTGTGAGGATCCTGGTGCAATAAGAAAAAAGGTGAGATCTAGCAAAAAAAAAAAAAAAAAAGAAATAGGAGCAATACCTTTCTCGGCCTTTAGCTAAACATAGATGAGGTGTAGTATCTGTTCTGGTCAGTTTGAACTTTTTTTTTTTTTTCAACCTTAAAAATTTGGACCATTTCTCGATTTATGCGTGTCATCCTTGCGCTTAAGAATGAGCTGTGGAAACGAGACTATCCGGACAAATTTTTTGACAACACGTTGGTTAACTTCTCGAGGAAATTCGGAGGCCTATGGAAGGAATGGATTCCGGTGCTCACACGATGGGGCCGTCGGTTTTAATGACTTGGGATCATTACGCCCGTATTAGGGACAGTGTTTCGGTTTCTGGTCTGGGGGGTTACAGGGTTATCCTTAGTGATTGGGAGTTTGTACTAGGGGGTAGGTAGGATCTGCTTTGTGGTTTGAGAATTCTTCTGAAGTTGGTTTTCTGCTTTAACGACAGTCGGGGGGGGGTTGGAGCTTCTGGACTTTTTTGTTGTGGGACGTAGGAGTTGAACTCAGTACCGGTGGCTTGAGAATTCTTTTGAAGTTTTGGTTTTCTGTTTTAACGACACTCGGTGTTTTTTCGAGCTTTTGACTTTTTGTGGTGGGACGTAGGAGTTGGACTCGATACCGGTGGTATATATCTTTGACGATTTTCGGATATTTGTGCGGTGGGTTCGATCTGGTTATCGGTGGACCTTGTTGCTTGCTCTGTCTGATGGTTCGGACGTGGGAAAAAAGTTGGTTCTCGGTTCGGCTCGTAGTCTGGGTAATTAGTAGACGGTATCTGGATGTGTTGGTAGGATAGGTACCTCCTATTGGGAGCTTTTCTTTGACGGGTTTTTAACGCGGCGATGTTTGGAAGTCAAGCGTTGTATTGACGTACAGTAGTCGGTGTAGTTGTCACTATTAATACAGTAGACCGACTAGAGTTCATCAAACCGACTTATGACCCCTGACGAGTCCTGGCAGGCGGCCAGGCGAAACCGGTCGGGTCACTACCGCCTACGGAAGCTTGTCTTTCGTTTGTGCTTCACGTTCTATTTTTTCAATCAAGTCGCGTTCGGGAACTCTAGTGTCTATGCTCTCATTTTGACTTCTCCTTTCTCCCTCTTCCTCTGCTTCTCCTCCTTCTTCTCCCCTCCCTCTGACCTTCTCTCTCGGTTCGGTCTTCGGTTGATGCGCTGCGTATGCCTGAGTGTGTGGATACCTGTTCACTCCATCTGCTGTGTCCTTGTTGACATACTTTCTCATGCGGAGTAACCGACATAGAAGTGATACTATAGTCGTGTGGCTTCGACCGAGTTACGATGGCGTCTAACGGTAACCTAGCTCCTGGCGTTCGTACGTGCTACAACTGCGGCCAGCCTGGACACATATCAAGATTATGTCCTTTGCCTGATCGAAGACTCAATGGCGGTCAAGTTGCGGGTACGGCGATAGTACCGGCTCAGCCGCTGCTCACAGGACCTCCAGCTGCGACGGTCAACTCTAACTCTGGGACGGCTGTCCCCTACTACTCTGGTTACTATGCCAATGGTGGAGGTGGCGGGGGGTTGGGACGGCGGGTCAGCTCGTTAGAAGAACTGGTAGGCAATATCAACAGTAAGCATGAAGCAGATGAAGCAAGAGAACGAGTGAAGAAGGAAGAAGATGATCGTAAGAAGAAGGAACTAGAAGACGAAGATCGTAGAGCTAGGGAGAAGAAGGATCGTGAAGAACTGCAAGCGTTGATGCACAAGGAGATGTCGGAAAAACTCCATGTAGTACGTGAAGCCATCGATGGTAAGAAGGCGAGTGATGCAGAAGAATTGGCTAAACCGAGGGCACAGATGGAACTGCTTTGCAAACATCAAGCTGCTGTGGACGGTAGCACCATGAAAAGTGCCGAACATTCGAAGGTTACAGCCTTGAAATGGCAAGTAGACGCTCTTAAGCGTGCGCAGAATGGAGCTAGTACGTCGGCCACGGTTTCAAGACCACTAAGTGAAGCTGAGGAAATTGCGCGACTGCGCAAGGAGCAGGTAGACGTGAAGGCAAGTATGGATAAGCGGTTAGCCACTTTGGAGGAAGTCATTTTCGCTCTCCAGAAGCAGTGTGAAGTCGCGGAGGCTGACGCTGAAGTATGGCGGATTGAGGCCATGAGGCTAGGAACAAACGTGGCAGCATAGCTATTGGCCAGTCTCCTTCTACTGAGACACGAGTTCGTGCTCGGGTAGTGTCGAGCGCAACTCCCTGTACGGTTGGCAGAGTTAATGGACAGTTGAAAGAGATCGTGGAGCGACATCAACGTGAAGTGGAATTACTGAAGGAGATGAGACTCAAGGAGGTTAACGCTCGTAAAGAATCTGAAGCAGAAGTGGAAAAGTTGAAAGAAGCTATGGCAGGGTTAGGCACCGGAAGGAAGACGGGTGGCACCAATCTCAAGTCCAAGATGGATGAAGCGGCTAGGAAGGAGAAATCGAAGGGTGTAGGCACTCCGGTGATCCTGCTGAGTCAACAAGACGCCTTCCTTCGTGATACTAGGAAGGATCTTCGAAACTTGAAGAAGGATGCAATCGCGAAAATCTGTGAAAAGGAGGGAATCGTGTATACGAAGTTGGAAGACGCTAAAGAAGCCATTGCACAGGCTCGAGCAGACAGGGCCTTCAAAGAAGATGAGCGGGATACAAACTCCAAAGAAGATTCTGTGGTTGAACTGACAGATGATAAGGGGGAGGATTCAGGTAAGCACGACGGGTGTGACTCGACTACTTCTTAGGGTCACACCTGAACGCGGCTATATTATGGAAGTCGTTAGATTTTGTTCTCGATTACAATCGTCCTCTTTGGAGTTATTGCGCTGTAAGAAGGTGAATGCGTTGCTGAGTTTTGCGGTCTGTGCCTTAATTCTCGTAGGTGCGATTCCCTGGGGACTTAATTAGTTTCTTCTTACCTCTCTTGGTTCAGTGTCGACGTGAGAAGGTGGATGAATGGCAGGGGCCTGTGGTTTATGCTCTCGTGTCTCCTTGGCATCGTCATGTTTATATAGGTAGCACTCAACGTGATGCTCACTGTCGATGGAGGGAACATGTTTATAGGACATGTCAGAGGAAGGTTGTAGATGGTGGGAGGAGGAACGAGAAACTTTACAGATGGTTGCGGCGTAGTGGTGCTCACTCCTATGCAGTTATTCCCCTGTGTAGATGCTCGTCGGATGATCTGTTGCAAACGGAGCGGTTTTTTATTCTTTTATTTTGCCCTGCCTTGAATGTCCCTGATAAACCAAGACGGTCTAAGAAATGTCGAGCGGGCCTCAAGGAGAGATTGAGGAAGAAAAGAAGATTGGGTGATATTAAGGAGGGAATATGTGAGTATTCGGGTTCTCTTTGTGACTTTCACTCTAGTCATGGTCTCGTTTTGGTCAGTTTGCTGAAAATTTTGAATGACTATAAGGAGAAAGGTAAGCTAAGTGTTGTGGTGTGCTGCCGTGGGGGAACCAGGACTGTAGATCAATGGAAGGTCCTGAAACGACTGTTTGCTGGGAGTCTGGTCGAATCTCAGTATGGAAAGGAGGAGTTACGATATGCTAGGGACTGGCTGAAGGGTGGCGTGACTTTGGTGATCGATCCCATTGTTCCGTTTCTATGTCGTTCCTTGATCTTGAAGGCACCT